TGACGGCGGGTTTTTGTCCGGGCGCTGCAGGAAAGCTGAGGAGTACCTGCGGCTGGCCCAGGTGAAGTGCACCGGACTCGTGGCTCAAATGACAGCGACCGGCAGCGCCGTGATGTGCCTGGACCTCGCAGCCACCTTCATGAAACTGCCCGTTCCCAAGGTACGATGCAGTGTAAGGCCGGGCTGGCTGATAAAAGGGCCGTGTCATATTATATGAAAGAGACAAACCTCACTTCCAGGAGCACGGTCTAAAATAACACTGCATTAAAAGAGGGGGGAGACAGACCTGGTCACTTTCTGCAGTCAAAACTTATATCATTGCATAATTTCGTTTAGTATCACAATTTAATTTTATGTTGTTGCATAATCTGTTTGGGTGCCTAAATAAGATGTGGGGAAGTAATCTTGCTAATTCTTGGGGTTTGTCTTTGTCTTCTTGAAAGAGCAATTTTGTTAAACTCTCCGGTTTGAACAAGACAACCTACCAGAGCTCCATGAAGTCTTTGGAGTGTTTGCTAGAGGTGAACCCCAGGCTGGGAATGAGAGACTTGGCTGTGCAATTCTGCTGCACAGAGGCAGTGAACACTGCTGCAAAAATACTGCAGAGGTGAGGAAGCTCTCGGGAACACATTGGTAACCACGAGTAAGATTGTTCACTAGATGTGCAAAGAGCTTGATGGCTGGAACTGCCACGTATCATTCAGTGACAGGAGTAGAGAGGCTAGTTCTTAGCACTGGCAATTCAGCCATTTATCTAGTCTGCTTCTTACAATACATATTAGGAAGATTTAGCCTCTGACTCTCAATAAGTCACTGTGTGAGTCTCAGGTCTTAAGTAGGATTGGTGTAAAAAAACATAGGACTTCTCATCCCTGTATTTGTCCATAGTATGACCCTGTCTTCCATTTACCTGCCAGTCATGTTACAGTGCAGAAATAATGGTCAGTAGAAACAAATTCTCCCTTCTGGAGAAGCAGATGTCTTAAAATGCACATTTTTCTTCCTATAAAAACAATAGGTAGAACATTTGAATGGAGATTCAAGAGATTTCACTAAATTTTGCACTCACGTTGATTTTTAACAAGAGCAGTCACTGAAGAGCTGTGTTCTGGAGGGCTGTTACCCTAGCAGCACATCTCTAAACACTGTAAGCTCAGTGAACAAAGGCTGCATATGCTTGTCATTGCTTTATACAAACTAAAAAGCAGCCTGGAGACAGGTGGGCACTAAAATCAATTTTGTTACTGCTGCATATTCACAATGTAATCTTTCATATTTAAGCCTTCATGTGTGTAATATACATAGTGGAGGAATCAAAGAAACAATAATTCTACACTCCACTTTAGGATAGATTTATGCATCTCATTGTAACTTTCGGATGTAATGTAGAGATAAAAGAGCAGTGTGGATGGAAAACACAAGAAATAGATATTACTGACATGCCTTGATTTAAAATACTTGTAATTCACAAAGAGGAGGTGAATTTTCTCATGTCTCTTCTGCTCTTAACAGCCAGTAGCAGCTATTTCTGCTTGACTGGGTTGCAAAGGACCAAGGGATCCAACAGGAGACCTGATCAGCTGCTGAGTACCATGTGACAAATGCATTAAAACAGCTTCGTTGGAGGCAAATGCACTATACAATTATTTTTATTCTTTAGGTATGAATCCAGCCTCTCAGAAGCACAGCAAATGGACCTTGATTTCTCAAAACCACTTTTTCTAACAGCTGCACTATTCACTGCGTGCAGGTGAGTGTAGCTTGAGGGATCTTCTAGGTGCTTAAATGCTTGGTGAGACCTCAGACACACACAGTGGTTACAGTGTAAGCAGCTGATTCATTCAGCACAACTGAGCGGTCTGAAGAGCCTTGCTTAGTGCATCCCTCCACTTCTAGAAATGAAGAAGTCTGTAGCAAACCAGGGCTTTCCTTGCAGTGAAGTCTCCAATCTACACTGCATTTGCCATCAGGAGAAAGCAGAAATATTTTATCAAACATGAAGAAAAAGATTTTGAGTTACTTATCCTAAAACAAACCAAACCTGCCTTCCCTGGTGTCTAACTGGTGGGTAATTACATTAGGACATAGCCATGGCAGTTGCTGAAAAAACTTGTTTTGCACTCACTCTCGTCAGCCTAACTAGCATAACATAATCCCATAGTAACATGATCGGATTTAGGGGGTTTTTGTTTTTTTTTCCATTTTCAGGATAGATTTGAGCTGGGCACAAAGCAAAAAATTGTATGGCTTTTAGTGAGATACTGCTTGGGGTGCCAGAATGGCTGTGAGCTCATTCCTGAGCAGCAAGAGGCAGCCATTCCAAAGAAGGAAGAGCCATCAGCCCTACAACCATCACAGCCTGAGGGTGCTCTAACATTTGGGAGGTGCTGCAGGCTGGTATCAGCTTGGAATGTAGGTGTCAGGAGCACCCGACTCAGCCAACCCTTTGTAAGAGTTTGCCTGCACACAGGTATCTTCCCTCTCAGTATTATGCCTTGTAAAAATTCAGGTCTGCAGTTTTACAGCTTCTGACAAATGTTCTCCCAACACAGGTCCCCTTCAGCCTTTTTCAGTAGTGGAATTTTGTCCTGGTTCCCTCAAAATCTGAAAGGTGCCTTTTCCTAGTGGAATTTCCCTGTGTAAATTGAATTAACCCTGAGTCTCAATTCCTGAGCTATATTGACTGGGTAGGGGTCTGTTTTTTAAACAAATTTGTTTCTGAATGAGACATGGGTCAGGTAAGACCAAGTCAAGCATACCTTCCTCATTCTTACAGGCAGTTTATGTGCAGGAAATGTTACCTCACCTGAGCGACAGTTGCTGGAGTGTTGCTTTGTACAGAGTTAACTAACTTTCTCTTGTAGGTGTCTGAAGCTAAAAGTGGATAAAGCTAAGATGTTGGCTGCATCTGGGGTGAAAAAAGCAATATTTGACCGGCTGTGCCATCAGCTGGAGAAGATGAGCCAGCAACTCAGCAGTAAGTTTTTTGCTGTTTCCCCCTAAGACAGCATATCATATACTGTTCAGAAGTAAAGCAACTTAATTATTTTTTTAGAAGATGATGTTCCACTGGCTGCAGAGACCCCTGAAAGCTTGCAGACCAACCTGGAGCACTGTGAGACTGAAGATGGTAAGTTGTGTTTAGTTATGAACTACAACCACCTCACCAGCAGTTCTGAGCTTTATTCCTGCTTAATATTTTAGTAGTATAATATGCCATAATATTAATTTCACAGCAGCTTAGTCCTTTCTGCAAACCACTGGCTAATGGAAGAAAAAGACAACCTAGCAGGACAGTGGTGTTTATACTTAGTAGTCCTAGAGTAGAATTAAGGGCAGCTGTTCCATTCAGACAGAAAGGTGAAGAGGTGACTGTTCTGGCAGGTGAGGGAAGCAGCAAACCACAGCATTAGGTAACTGACAGACCCTGTGCTTGTGTGTACATGTGCTCACTGCCATGGTTATTCCCAGCAACATACTGCCCATCATGGCCTCTTATGGACTTTCTTCTCTCATAGAATGTGAAGATGACGATGAGGAGACACCATGTAAACGGCCAAAGACTGAAACAAAGCAAGACTATGAAGAATGGAAAAAGAAAATCCTGGAAAATGCTGCAAAGGCACAACAGACAAGTAGTAGTGTCTCTTTAGTGCCACCTAGTAATGTAACTGCTGCTTGCTCCTAATTTTAACTCTCCCTCTGCAGTAAGCAAGAGTTCCAGTAGCACATGACCAAAGGCTGCCTGGTAGGCAGCTGATTTTATTTATTAGCTAGTTTTTAAGTGTTTATGGACGTTATTTTTAGTAAATGACACCAGAATCGAGGTGATCTTACAATAAGCCTGTCTAATTGCCAGGCTGGTACCTGAGCAGCTGTGGCATTAGGTGGTAGAATATATTAATTTTATTTGCTGCAAAAAGCAGGTAACATTCTAATGCTCTGTTACATGTAAATAAGTTACATGCCCTTGTGCCCCTGGCAGGAAGTAGGCAGTGAAAAAAGAAGGAGGGTATTAACAGTGCCTTGTTAAACTGCAAAACCAGCAGAGAAATTAAAAGACTGATACTTTTTTACTATTAAAGAAAGATTGTCTAGTTACTGTTTTTTACATATTTTTAATGACCTGTATGGGACTGAAGTGTCTTGTGTTTGTAAGAGGTCCCAAATATTCAAAGAAACAATAAAGATGAGGAGAAGCTTTATATTATGACTTCAGGTTCTTGGTACTTGTCATATAAAAATCCTTAGAGTACAGAGTAAAATACATACAAGAGATGTCTGTGCTTTAAGAAGGAAGATATCCAGGGGACAAAGGTCTTATCTGGGTAAGACAAGTTTTTTGCATCTCACAGTCATAAACTTAGAGAAGAGGAAAGAGCACCCTGCCCTGTAGTTGAGGCATCTCCTGCAATTGTACACGTCCATCCCAGCTACTCAAACTACAATTTGTGTTAAGTACTTTTTGAAGCAAAGTCATTACTTTTAGCAGTACAGAGCTGGTGTAACTGTCATAAAACCAATCCAATTCTTGATCCTCTTTGTTTTTGATGTGTTCTGCTTGGAATATGCAGAGAAACATTAACTTTCATAAACCCTCTTTTCTTAACAAGACAGAAAACCCTAAGTGTCCTTATGAAGCAAGGTAATCTAAACTCAGCATTTATATTTGAAACACTGCCCCCACTTGAGCTGCTCCACACTATTTTGATGGCTTGCCAAATGCCTCCCCGCTGTGCATGCTCCCTGCTTACCTGGACAACACTGATTGCACCAGGATTACAATACTTGGCATCATAAACTGCTTTAGTTAAAAAGAGACCTGTTCTGTTTGTCATACTACTCAGTGCCTCACAGGTCACTTGCGGTTTGTCCTTTTAGCTTTTGTAGACCCCAAAACAAAATGGAGAGCAGCTTGGTGAAACATCCCATAAGGCTGCAAGGGTTGGTTCCTCTGCACTGCAGAACCATGTGGTGGCTGTGGAATCCAAAGATTTATTTTTTTTTCTATTAGAAAAAACAGTAATCCTGCCAGCCAGATGCACCTTCTCATAATAGAAAATGGAGAGGAAATATGTACAAGACAGCAGAGATATGTACACTTAGACAAAAATGGAGGAAAGAGCACACAGCAGCTAGAAAATCAGAACTTGCTGGCCATTTTCCTTTCATCACTTCTCCCAGTACATAAAAAAAGGGGATCGCTTGAAGTCAAGTTTTATTAACAAGAGCTAATTCCATTCCAGATAAGAGCTCTGAAATATAACACTATTAAGGAATGCACTCCAAATAAATGCCTGATGTGCAGAGAAAATACTGGATAATTAACCCACACTGAGTAAGAACGGTAACAAAATACCTGTCATTTCAAGTCTGATCTAGTATCTGGCAGAGGGTCCTCAGGATGGGAAAGAATCCAACCTTGTACATGAGCATCCTGTTGTTAAGACCTACTCAGAAATGCTTACAGGTTTGTTTGGTGAGGGGGGTCAAACCAAAAGTGAAGAATAGGCTTGTTCCACTTCAAATAAATTTATTAGTATTAATTCAGAAATATACATACCAACTGATATAATCACATTTCACATGCAGAACCACTGTGGAAGGAAAAGAACAAAAGCAGGCCTTCACAGAAGGTGATACACTGTCAAGATTATTTTACCTGATTTTATTAATTCTCTGCCTCAATTTTGCAAACACTGCAGAAGTCCAGAATTCAGGACTATGCCCAGTGAAGAGGCACTAGAGTGGGAAAGGTAACTAGACAAGGATAAGCCAGTCTGACTGATGAAGACTATTAGCAACCAACAGTTTTGCTAATTCAAGGGACATGAAAGTCTATGAAGTTAAAGGGAGCTTTACAGTGGTTTGATGTCTTTGCTGAAAAGCTAGTTTTAGTAGTAGTAGTTTCTGTTTTTCCTAAGAGCCCATCCAGCTCACACAGTTCTGCAGAATGTAGAACAGGAATGAAGGAAACCACAAGTTTAATAAATAATAATATAATTTTAGCTGAGAGACTGTAAGTATCTCCAATTCTTTACACATCAGGAAAAAACTTTAAAATCCTAACTAAGTTAGTATTGTGAAGAAAGCATTTAATGTTCAAGAGCAAAGTGGGGGTGAAAATGGGCTTCAACCTCCTAACTGGGCTAAAGCAGAATCTGGCAACACACCAGTTCTCTCCTAATGAACAGCAATAAAACCTATTTTGCATATCACCCCTTATCAACTTCTCAGACTTCATTAAAACTGTCAGAGGAGAAAAAAAAATAATCCTTGAACTAAAACTTCTAAGATAAACAGCTGAAGTCACAGCCAATGAGAAGCACTTACACTATTTAAATCCATATAAAACAATGTCTGGAAATCTTTTCTGGACAACATGAAATCTTTTTGCATATACCAAACAGTCATAAGGCAATTTTTATTCGTGGCAGTTTCACCTGTCTCCTTCCAAAACTTCAATCAGTCCAGCTCAGTTCAACTCCTCATAATAAAAAACCCAACAATGGACCAACTGACTTTAGAGGCTTCAAACCAGGATTCCTCATGACTATTTTTTAGAAGAAGAGACTAGAATTAAAAAACCCAACAAACCAAAATCATTCAGCCGAACAGTTGCACTGGATCATTGTTGTGTTCTGAGGGAAAAATTAATATTTTCTGAAAAATTACAGAATAAAAGAATATGCAATATTTTGTTCTAACTAACAGACACCTGAGGGAAAACACGTGCCACTGGCAGTGCTCTAAAATTGTTGACACACATCAATCATTAATGAAGTCTTTACAGATCCCATGCTGGTGTGAGATACCAGAAAACTGACAAGGTGTTTTCTGGTGTAAACACAACAACAACACTCTGCAGATTCAAAGCCTTCAGCAAGAAGTCAGCCCCAGGAACAGCCACGTGTTTCCATCACTATGTACAACAACTAAAAAATTGTAAAAACAAACAAGGTAGCTTCTGCTTTTAGAAATTATTGCAATGCCTCTGCCTTGAGGCACTTCTGGAACCTTAGCACTAACACACAATATTTGGAGGACAGACCCAAACACCTATGTTATAAAATAAAGGGGTAGAAATTATTGAAGATCCTGAGTCCTTTTCATGGCTTCACATCCACCTCCAAGAGCAGGTAAGATGCCTCATACAAGCTCACGCAAGTTTGACAGACATACTCTGAAACCTCTTCAGCCTGTTGGCAGCAGCCACCACGTAAAAATGTTTCTGTGAACAGAACAAAACAGTCCAAGTGTGAGTGCCACTGAGGGAAATTACTGTTTCTGTAGCTGACATGGATTCTTCTTTTTGGTAAACCCATTTACCTCTAGTGATCCACACCTTGTGTAGACTGCACTGCAGAACAGCTTTGTACTGAGGAGCTGCAGAACAGGCTGCTGGTACTGTGAACAATTATTACAAACTGCACAGTGACTGTCCTTAGATTATGCTTTTTTTTTTTAAATGCAAGTGCAGAAGCCTGCAACCAAACAGCTGGAGTGCAGGACTGGAAAAAGGGTAAGCCTCTGGTTCAACTGCTTGGCAAGGAATTAACAGTCTCCAGTGACAAAAGAAAATGGTCCTCACTGAATTTTCCTCACCATTCCACAGGCTTATTTGTAACAAGATCAGTGTTCACCCTTCAGGATTGATTATCTACAAACCAATAAAGATTCGAATAGAAATTCCTATTTATCACTTCTTCATATAAAATTCAATTCTAAAGGAGCACAGTGTTATCAGAAAGGTCCTGAAGAGTTCTCTTGATGGGTTTAAGCCTGTTATTTTTCTCTCTCCCACACTTCTACTCTACAATGGGAGGCACAAAACTACCTTATGTTGTATCCCTACTCCATAGTGACAACGGAACAATGCAACTGTTGTCAGCAGAAAAAAATCTCTCCAAAATGAAGAGAAAGAACATTCAAATAAGCTAAGCAGCATCAGATTTTGTCTATTTACCTTCCATTTTCTGTGAGCCATGTAACTCTGCAGCAGCAGCTGGGACTTCAGACGAAGCTTGGACTTCTTGGCTTTGCCAGGTAGGTCACTTAACCACTCGTGCTTCAGACACTGTGTTGCGCTCATCCGGCAGCTGCGGGAGACAGAACCGGCCATGTCAGCCCAGCCACCCTCACTGCCATTGTCTCTACCCTCTGCACCTCAGGATCACGTAACTGCCTTAAATGTACCAACATGAGTGGACATGGTGTTCATCCCTAATGAATATCCTGCACTTCCTTCCTCCCATTCAACAGTGGGCCCAAAACTGAAGGCCTGTTCAAAAAGCTTTCAGAAACATACAGTAATACAGAAAGTCTAGGGGGAAAGGTGTTGAGAAAAAAAGTTAAATTTGATTTTTTTTCCAAAACCAAAGCATATGCCTAACTCCTGAGCTTTGAGCTGTCACTGAAAGATGATTACAAGATGCCTCCTGCCTGCCTACAATGAATTTCAGTAGTCAGAGGCAGTGGGTACAGATCTTGCACACAGCCAGACCTGCTGTCCCTGTAGAGAGCAGAGGCTGTGCAGATACAACTGGGCCATCTAATAATTGCTCTTTACCTCTTACTGACAACACTCTTTTCATAGAATCACAGAATGCCAGGGGTTGGAAGGGACCTCTGGAGATTGAGTCCAACCCTCCTGTCAGAGCAGGATCACCTAGGGCAGGCCACACAAACATATCCAAATGGGTCTTGAAAGTCTCCAGAGGAGACTCTACAACCTCTGGGCAGCCTCTTCCAGTGCTCTGTAACCCTTGCAGTAAAGATTAATTGCATTTAATTTGCAGCTTCTAACCAGGCTTATCCTAGTGTTCCTTTGGAATCCCTATTCCCACTACACAGAAAAACTGAAGACTCCAAAGCAAAGTTTACAGTCTCATAGTAAATCATCACAGTCTGAGAAAAAACCCTTTGTTGTCTCCTGCTAGCAATACATTGTTCAGTTTTTTTCTTAGCTTTTCATATAAGTCACTGCTCAAAATGTAATTAGTACTAGAATCAATTTGTCTAATTTAGGTAATGATCTGGAAGTTGTTCATTTTCTACATGTTCATTTGAATTCCCCTCAAACATACAATCTGTTTTACTGTATGCATCATTTCCTGTTTTGATTAGTTTTGTACCACTACCTAGCAAGAGAAAAAATTCTCTACTCACTAACCCAATCCCAGAGCCA